GTCACACAGCTAGGAAAAGTCTGAACTGAGATTAGGACCTGGTCTGGCTTCCAGGGGCTTCCCAGGTGGCGCTTATGGTTAAAGAGGCTGCTTGCCAATACAGGAGACATAAGAGACATGGGTTCGACCTCTGGGTTGGGAAGATCCCCTGGAGGAGAGCATGGCCACCCACTCCAGTATTCTTGCCTGGAGAATCCCCTGGACAGAGGAAACCTGGGGGGCTACAGTCCACAGGGTCACACAGAGTCAGATGTGGCTGAAGTGACTTAGCATGTCCACACACGCATGCATCAGTGGTTAGGACTCCAGGCTTTCACTGCTGAGAGTGTGGGTCAATTCCTGGTGAGGCAGCTAAGATCCTGTAAGTCGTGGAGCATGGCCAAAAAAAAGAAGAAGCTATCGGAATTCTTTCTCTGGTCCTCCTTGCCCCCAGCCAAGAGGAAAGATTAAAAAAAAAAAAGACCCACTGCTTTTCAGAAGCACCCCTCCCTGCTTTCTCCCCCAGCTGGAGATAAGGACACTTGTCAGAATGCTGGGAGTGTTCACTGCTGTTGGGAAGCTTCCAGCTCTCGTTCTAGTGTGGAAATTCATGAAGATTTCCTTTCAGCTCTGTCGAAGCAGAGTCTATCCAGCTTTCTCCTGTTTGGGTTTGTAGCAAGGGGGAAGGATAGGGGAGGGCGCAGGGTTGGAGATGAGTCCAGGATTTGAGATCCCAAGGGCCAGTCTGGCGTGGCTGGCAAAATTCCCTGCACGCACGCACACACACGCACACCTCTTCCCCTGCAGCCAGACATGGTCAGGGAACCCGAGCACGTCGTCCGGGCCTTGCCACTCCCGTCTTTCAGACCCAGGACCACCTGCTTGGTTGGCCAGCCGCACTTCCTTGGCGGGGACACTTGGCTGTGTCAACACAGGGCAGTGTTCTGCCCTGGACAGCGGGTGCAGTGAGTCTGCCCTGCACCCGGGTCCTCGGACTCCCCGTGAGGGTGGGAGTGAGATGGGGGCTGAAGGAGTCTCTTGGTGTGAGGAGGGCATGGGGTGCCTTCTCCTTCTCCCGATTCCCACTAACTGTGCTCCCCCCAAGCGTGGGAAGTGGCATCTGTGTCTCTAGCTGCTTGGAACTTGCATCCCTCTTGAGGCCTCCTCTGCCCTCCCCTCTGGAGTGAGAAGGGAAACATCATGAAGGACACGGCTGCTGCGTGTGGTTGGGGATCTTGGCTATTTCTGAAGGACAGCCCCTGGTCTCCAGGACCCAGTGGTCTTGCATTCCATGTGGCCAGGGGCCAGCGCCCGGGAAGGGGTGGGGCTCTGAGTACTCCCCAGGCATCATGAGACCCTGGGGCTGGCCAAAGCCTGCGGGCTCCGCCGGATCTGAGATGGGGAGAGGGGATCTGTGGCACTGCTGTCTGGTTCCAGGGAGGAAACCAGAAGCTGGCTGGCAGCATCTGCTGCCGGTTCTAACTTGGGGTCCCTGCGGGAGGTTTGCTGCAGAGCTGGGACTTAACACCTAGTGGCGGGGAAGCTGCCAGTCCCGGGGTGGGGGGGTGGGGGGGTGCGGAGGCTGTGCAGGAAGGTTTCTTTTTTTGTCTCTCACACCCAGGGTATCACTTCCGTAGCCGGGCAGCAGATGGGCGGATGGGGGCGATGAGGAGTGTGAGGTGTGCAGGAAGAAGGCACGTGCATTTCCAATAGTTGCGGGGGGCGGGGCGGGCAAAGATTCAATGTATTTGGGGATGGGGGTGGGAAATCTTGCTGCTTCAAAATGGTGCGGGAGAAGGCTGGGTCAGGAAACCCTAAGACAGGTTCATGTACTAGCGGAGATCCAGCGCTGGTACTAGACAGATTCAAATTCAAGTCCCTGATCTGCCACCAATTAGCAACGGCTAACATTTGCTGGTTTTTCTGCTAAGGGCTTTCTGTGTGCATAATCTGATTCATGTCTCACAAAATGAACGGGGTGGGTGCCAGTTTCATTCCCATTTGGCTTAGGTCTGGTGAGGCTCTGAGAGATGCTGGAACCCACCCAAGGCCACACAGCCGGTGACTCTAAACTTGAGACTCACATGGACAGGGGACTCTGACGTCCCATCTCAACCACTTTCTACACTTAGAGCAGTCATCTGACACCTTCCGACCTCCTGGCTGTCTGGCCATGGGAACACCTAACTTTTCCCATCCTTAAGGTTCCTCATCTGGGCGATGGGGAGATAAATGTCATTCTCCCAGCTTTCTTTTTTTAATTTTTTATATTATATTGGAGTATAGCCAATTAACAATGTTGTGATAGTTTCAGGCACATAGCAGAGCAACTCAGCCATACACATCCCGGTGTCCACTCTCCCCCAGACTCCCCTCCCATCCCGGCTGCCACATACCATTGAGCAGAGTTTCCTGTGTATACAGTAGGACCTTGTTGTTGTCCATTTTAAATAGCAGTGTGTAGTGTATCCCCTTAGGACCTATCTATAAATGTGCAAAATGTAAAATTAAGGCAGTGATTAGTAAATACTCTACCAGGACCCTGCCAGGCCTAGTTTCTCCTCAATCCTTTCTCTCCTATCCACCCCCTCCCCAAGGAGAACTAAACCAATTTCTCCATCTGCCTCAGCTATCTCCTAGCTTTCTTGTGAGGATTAAACCAGAGAATGTGTGTAAGCCATTCAGCCAGTCCCTGGCCTGTCACAGTGTCATCATTCATTCATTCAACAACTCTTTATCGAACACGTGTCCTATGTCAGTTTCCATTCTAGATATACAGACTAGAGGAGTGCTAGCTCTACCAAAGGGAGTAAGCAAATAAGTTAGAAAATCTCCAGCAGTGATATGCATTAGGAAGAAAACAAAATCAAGTAATGGCAGTGACCGTAGAAATATGAAGGTCCGCTTTAGCTGGGTGGTCCAGGAAGGCCTCTTTGAAGAAGCAGCCGTGGAGCTTAATTCCCAAAGGAAGGTGACATGGAAGAGGATGGACCTTCTAGGTTAAGGGAGCGGTGGGCACGAGGCCTGGAGTTGGGACAGGAAGGGGACCGTGTGGCTGGCTCAGCGTGAGGACTGGGTGAGTGGTGTTGGGGACTGGACAGAGGGCAGGGCCGTGGATGCTGAGGGAAGGTGAGGTACAGGACACAGTCTTTGGAGGGTCGAGTCAAGAGAGTAATGTGATTTAATTCATTCATTTTGGCAGCTATGTGGGGAATGGAAAGTTGGGCAAAAAAGATGGTTGCGAGGAGACGGGGATCGCAGAGAGATGATGTAGACCTGGCTAAATCAAGAGCCTCACCTAGAAAGTGGAGAGAGATGCTTCCAATGTGGAAGTAGAAGCAATAAACATCCTAATGATGAGATAACTTGGGCAACCTAGCAGTCAATTTTGCAAAAGTCACACGCCTCAGACCTCACAGCTTGTCGAAAACAGAGTTTGGGCTGCATTCCTACCACTGTAGAAATATTACCACCATCATCCTGCCATGAGGCACCATCCACTGATGTTCATGTTTTTCTTTTGAGCATGGGAATTTATTTGGGGAGGTTATTAAAGATAACTGAAAGTCTGGAGTTTATGATGTCAAACTGGGTTCTGGGTAGAATAGGGTTAAATAAACTTTTTCTATAAAGGGGCAGGTAGTAAATAGTTACATTTTTGTGGATTCTACTGTCTTGTCTTGCAGCTACTCAAGTTTGGAAACCAACCTTAAACAATGCATTAAAAATGTATGTGGCTCTGTTCTAATAAAACTTCATTTAAAATATAGGCAGTGAGCTGGATTTGGCCCGTGGATCATAGTTTGCCAACTCTGGCAGAAAATATAGTTTATTTACGGGACCAAGATAATTTTTTTTCCTACAACACGAATTCAAGACATTTCCCCCAAACTCTTGTAAAACTAGGGTACAGGCCTCTGCTTATCTTAACACTAGAAGATGTGATATAATTGAATAAAGACTCTGTTCAGTAGTTTTCAAATCTTGGGGATTCCTTGGAACTAACTCAGGGGACCAAGGTGATAGTGAGGATGGAGGGCTTGGGGTCCCAGCCTCTACTTCAACCAGGAGCCCCTCTTGGATTCACTTTTAAAAATGAAATTGGTGGTCTTCATAAGAGTTTGGGGGAAAAAGTGGTCTTGGGAGCTAGAAAAAAAATTGAAAATCTCTAATCCAGTCCGACTGGTTGGAGTTCATGTCCCACTTCTAGTATTTGCATTAGAGAGGTGCTTTCCTGGCAGCTCAGATGGTAAAGAATCTCCCTGCAATGCAGAAGATCCAGGTTCCATCCTTGGGTCAGAAAGAACCCCTGGAGAATGGAATGGCTACCCACTCCAGTATTCTGGCCTGGAGAATTCCATGGACAGAGGAGCCTGGTGGGCTACAGTCTATAGAGTCGCAAAGAGTCAGACATAACTGAGCAACTAATGCTTTCACTATTACATAATTGCTCATAGAACAAATTAACACATACATTTTCTAATTGGATGGAGGCAGGTAAAGAGGGGTTGCTTTGGGATTATATGTGTGGAGCAGAGGGTGTGCAGGGGACACAGACCAAAGGGACTTACGTAAATTTAGACGCTGAACAAAGGCCACAATGTCCCAGGTGGAGCTGCTGGAAGAGCCTACTTTCTGAGCCTTGTAAGGTGGCGGCAGCAGGCTGGTGTGTGGCAGTCTTAGAGAGGTAGAATGGGGGTGGCTTGGACTTCACATTCAGATACAGCTAGGTTTTAAATCTCTGCTCTGTCACTTAATAGCTAGACAAATTATTTAATCTCTGGTTATCCGTTTTTCCATCTGGAAAACTGGAATGATGCTATTTCCCTTCTCAAGCTGTTGGGTGAAATGAATTAATAATTCACTGCCAGTTGCGGAGCATATCTCCAGGGGCTTGAGAAATAGAAATATCCTTCTCCATGCTGTTTTCAGGGGTGTGGGGTGAGATCAGAGGCTTTGAGACCTTTTACCATCTTTTTCCTGTTGACTCCAATTTCCATGCCTCAATCTTCTCTTCTCAGGATGTGGCCAGGTTCTACGTGTTCCAAAGGGTCAGATTTTGTTGGAGAGCTACCCCCTGAATGCTCACTGTGAATGGACCATCCATGCCAAACCTGGATTTATCATCCAACTCAGGTAAGGGGCTGGGGTCAGAATTATGGAACCTGAGTTTTAAGGAAGTGCAGTAACAAAACCAATGGTCCTGGATCCTAGTAATCAGGGTTAACCATCTATATTTTATTCTTGAAAGCAGAAAATGTATATTAGAGCCTTTCCGTTTACCTCTTAGTGACTTTGTGGGATAAGGTCTGGGTAAGACTACCATCAATTAAATACTTGTCACTCACTGGCTAAAGACAATGAGGCTCAGGTGACATAACCCAAGGAAGACACCAGTATGACAGAACACAGCCCTGAGAGCAATCTGCCCACCCATAATCTTGACCAGGTCACCTAATCACTTAGTACTGGCTGGATTCTATGGAAGGGGAGGAAATAAGGTCTAACCTTCAAGGACTTTGTACTCTACATTGGGGTTTATGCTTGTCACAGCTTCCTTCATTGCTGTTCTCAGAAACCAACCACCACCTCCACAACCAGTAAACCGATTCTTTCATTTGTGTGGAAGATAAGCCCTTCATCTTATCGAGCTTTGGGGCCCACCCAAATGTTTAATTTATATCATGGGCCCAGTTGTAAATAGAGATAAATAACACAAGTGCTTACTGTTTTGTGAGAACTGTTCATGGCTGCATCCAGGAGCCTGGAACAGGACGTGGTGCACACGACAGGTCGATAGACCCTTCCTGCATAAAACAAGTGGAGAGAACTGCTCCCTGCCTGCAGTGTTCTCCTCTCTCCTGGCAGACGCCTCTACTCTTCCTCTTTAGAAAAGCAGAGTGGCCCACTCACCCCAGGACGTTCAGGGACATTTTCCCCCTAGCTCTTCCCTTTTCTAACTCGTGGAGATGTTGGCAGTGATAGAAATCTCTAATCTTCTAAAGCACAGGCTTCCAGTCGGTGTTTTCTGGGTGGATTGGTGCGCCCACTGGTTGCCATATGTCAGCTGGCTCCTCGATGGCACTCTGTCATGCGGGGGGGCAACACTGTACCCCACATTGAGAGGGTCCAGAACTCAGGTCCCTTTCCCAACCCTCCTCATCAAAGCCACCCTTTAGTTCCTGGTCTTCTTGTTCCCCGAGGTCCTGGGGTTAGGATGAAGGTTCAGTAAATGAACTTTCCCAGAGGAAGTTCAAGGAGCAAGTGAGAGGCTACACCATTCTGCTGAATGGGCTCCAGGCTGGATCTTCCAGTGTGATAAGGACAGTGTTAGATGCCACAGGCTAATTTTTCATCAACTCAGGGGCCAGGACAAATGGTCCCCTCAGAGACCGCGGAAGAGCTTCTTCAAGACCCAGGAGGAAAAGAAATCAGCTCCCCCTCCCCAGCTCCACCAACCAGAAATCCAAAATGTTGGAGGGGTTGAGAAGCACATCCCCTACCCAGGAAAGTGTCCTAGGAAGGCACAGAAATATATAGGTTTCTTCCCTGCAAACCTGGACCTGCTGGCCAGGGATAATTATAAGGATAAAAATACTCTGCAGCCTAGTGTTTGGCCCCAAAGCTGGTCATCATCCCTGGTGTTCCCTTTTCCATCACCTTCCACAGCCATGTCACCACAGAATCTATTTACTCAGCTGTAAAATAATCTCAAGTCTATCCACTGTCTCTACTGCGAAAATTCTACTTTGAACTGCCACCATCTCTTACCTGGATTCTCTCGTGGCCTAATTGGCTTCCCTGCCTCCACTCTTGCTGGCTCTGCCATCTTCTCTCTTCAGAGTGACTGGAGTGATCCTTTAAAGTCCCGTGTCAAATTATTATTCTGTTGGTGAAACCCTCCAGTGGTTTCTCTCAAGCTTGGAATAAAATCCAAGCTCCTCACCATACAGAACATCTCCTCCTCTCCTCTCCGACCTTCGTTCATACCATTCTCCCAGGTACGCATGGCCTGGCATGGCCTCCCTGCCTCCTTTCACTTCCTCAAAGATGCTCATGACTGCCTCTGGCCTTGGTACTTACAGATTCTCCTGCCTGGACCACTCTTCCCCGTGACCTGTGCATGGCTGGCTCCATTGCACCAGCTAAGCGTCTACCCAGATATGTCCTTGACCGTGTATATAGAAAGCTCACCCTCCCAGTCACTCTCAGGGCTCTTACCTGCTCTATTTTTCTTAGGACTTAGCACTCTCTGGAATTCCCTTGTTTTCTGGTTTCCTTGCTTGTTGTCTGCCCCCCAGATCAGAACTCATGAGGGCAGGCACTGTGTCTGCTAGGGATGCTACTGTGCTTTCAGCACCTGGAACAGCGTCTGTCACAGAGCGGACCTGCCGTCGTTGCATTGAATGAGTGAATGCATGAGTGAATGTCAATGCAGGTTGCAGTGTCTCATGTTTCACTTTCAGAAAAAGCTGTGATCTCGGTTTGGTGGTGTCCTTGGCTCCCCCCTCCACATCCTCCCCCTTCTCAAATTAAGATACCAAAGCCCAGAGAAGCAAGTGATTGCTCAAGGCCGGCAGTGAGTTGATGGTGACCAGATCCTTGCTACTATAGCATGTTGCACACATTATGATGAGTAGGACTTACACTGCCTTACAAAAGGTTTTGTGATAAAAATTTCTGAAAAATAAACGCTAGTCATACTCAGTGATCATTTCTATTTTTTTTAAATAATATCTTTAAGAGCATTTACAATATCCTGATAGTTCTCTAATTCTGGCACTTGAAGTTTTTACCCAAGGTGATAGAAGTGGCACTAGCCCGAACGTTTCAGGTGGCAGTTCTGAGTTCTTCTGCCTATTCCCACTTCTCCAGAATGTGAGGAAGAAGATACAGATGTACATTTTGTAACCCTGAATACTCAGACATTCCCTTGAGAATCTTCTGACAAGTTATCTTTTCCTCTCTTGCCTTGGTGTGTGTATGCCTCTTTTCTTACCTCTTAGAAATGGGAGCTTAGGGTTTTATCTTCTGCTTTTTTGATCTGCTGCACCCCACTATTTCCAAACCCAAGATCCCTTTGAAATAATCAAAGATATGTCTCTTTCGATTCTGAAATTTTGATATGATATACTTTTTCTGCTCTTTGGGGCATGAGTTATTGTTACCAAGAGGATAGTTATCTTCTGATCCTTCCATCAGACAGAAGAGTATGCAGGGTTTTTTCCTTTACTTGGTCTTTAAGATAACATACACCCTCTTGCTCTCCAGTTGTAAAATTGAAGTATCCGTTCTGTCACCTTCTCAACATTTGTTTATTGTCTCCATGTGCCAGGCACTGCGTTAGGCATTCAGCAGAGTGATGGAATAAGGCAGATGTCACACCCTGCCCTCCAGGAATGTGCAGTCTAGGGAAGCAGATAGGCATGCGTGTGTGCACACACACACTCATGAGATCAAGGAGATAAATATGAGAAATTAAAATGTCTGTACACATTATGAAGAAAACAAGGGCTCTCCTTTAGAAAGAGTTGTCGGGGAAGCCTCTTTAAGGAGAGAATATTTTAGCTGAGCTCTGAGTTTAGGAAGGAACCAGCCATGCAGGCTGGGAGTGAGAAGCGCCCCTGAATGAGGAGCTGGTGTGTGCAGAGATTCCCGGCATGGACTGTGGCGCCCCCTGCTCCTGGCACATATGTCCACACACCTGCACACAGTACATCTGCCTACACACAGGGAAGGAAATGCACCTGCTCTCAAGTCCTCCAGGACCACGGTTCTACCAGGTCAGGGAAATAGCTCCTCTCTTGCGGAGGCCTGCTGATCATCTGGCCTTGAACTTGCCCAGGGTTAGGGGACGGAAGGACTGTTCGGGGCCTCACCTGTTTCCTGCTGTCACCCTCTCCTCCTTCAGGATTGTTATGTTGAGCCTGGAGTTTGATTACATGTGCCAGTATGACTACGTTGAGGTCCGCGACGGGGACAGCAGCGACAGCCAAATCATCAAGCGTTTCTGTGGCAACGAGCGGCCAGCTCCCATCCGAAGCACGGGCTCCTCACTCCACATCCTCTTCCACTCAGATGGCTCCAAGAACTTTGACGGCTTCCATGCCATCTTTGAGGAGATCACAGGTGAAGGCCAGAGAGAGAAAGATTGATTTTATTTTATTTTAAAGTTTAGTTTTTGGCCATGCCCAGAGGCATGCGGGATCTTAGCTCCCCGACCAGGGATTGAATCCATGCCCCCTGCAGTGGAAGCACAGATTCTTAACCACTAGACCTCCAAAGAAGTTCCCAAATGTCACTTTTTATGGCTGCACTCTAGATAAACATTCCTTTCTGTGTATCCCTCTCCTTCCTGCCCAGCTTTGTTAAAACCCCACCTGCTGGGTTCTCAGAAACAACCTGCACATTGAGAAGGTAGAAAGAAATGGCAAGGGGTATTTCAGAAATGCTCACCAGAACCAGAACTAGGAATTATTACTTCTCCTGCAAAGCTGCTGTAGCACAGATAGATCAGGTCACTTGTCTGTGGTTGCACAGCTCTGGAGATGGAACTAGGAAATCTGCACAGTTTGGCTCTGGAGCTCCTATTAGGGGCTCTCATGGTTAAGAGAGTTAGCTTTGGTCCCTCGCAAATTAAACCATGTGGCTTGGACAAGTTCTACTGTTCTGGGCCTGGGTTTCCTAATTATTGAATAAGGGCGTAACCCTAGATCCTGCTCCATTAAGGAGTCTCTGGGAGACAGAACAGGTGAAGAGCTGAGCAGTGTCTGGTACAGAGGAAACCCTCAGTAGCTGCCCAGCCCAGGCATGCCCTGAGCTTCCTTTGTCATCTTTCAAATAACTGTTCAAAGTCTGACACTACCCGGGAAATGCCACTCACTTTATGAGGAACCCTGCGTCTGACTTCAGCTCCTGTCCTATTCATATGAGGAAGTAGCATTTGGCCAAAATGAACAACGGGCTCAGTGCTAAGGAATCACCCCAGATCATTTTTACTCCTTGGAGGTGAGATTGCATCAGGTTTTACAAAATAAACTCCAGCTTGAAGTATTTATTTTTTGAAACAAATAACTGAATTTAGGAAATTGCAGTGATCTTTTGGCCTTTCAAGCTCCCTTATGGAAGGTCTGATACGGATATCTCAGGAAGGGAGGTGGGCAGAAGTGGAATCAGTCTTTCTGTACCCTTGCCGGTTCAGCAAGACCAGCAGACACCCCGCCCTCTCTGCCTCGTCCCCCTGAGAACGTCCCTGCCCGAGCCTCCAGCAGTTGCTCCTACGAGCTGTGTGCTAGCTCCCTCCCAGGACGGGTGTCTCCTGTGCAGACTTGCAGGGCCTGGGAGCTCTAGAGGCTCTGCTGCTGTGCTGTGGTCGGCCTGTGGCTCAGTCCTTGCCCCTTGGCGCCACCCTGCCAGCCGAGGCTGAGATCCATCTGGCGGTGCTCATGGCAGTCTGCAGTTGGGGGCAGCGGCAGCTCACCAGCTTGTGACCCTGTGACTGGGGGAAGGGTCAGGAGGGTCTCTTCCTCACTCTCCCCTGGAGAGCTCTGGTCTATGTGGTCAAATAGAGCTCTTCCTGTTCCTCAGGCACCTGGTGTGACCCACCTGCCCTCTTTATTCCCTGCCTAAAGCCACCTCCCAACTCCTGCACGTCATGTCCAATCCCCGGAGGCCCTGTCAGATTTCTCCTCCCCTGTTAAACCTTTTCCCTTGTTCTAATGGGCTGTGGCTTTGCCCTTTTCTGAATGTCTTCTAGCACTTTCTCTCTTTTCTGACACTTGCCCAATCACGCTTCAGGTTATAGTCACTGCCGACTCTTCTTCACAAAGCTTTGTCCTGGTGAACTGGCTCTCCTGTTCATCTTTGTATCTTACCAGCGCCTTCCACAGAGCCAGCGCTTGATTCAGGCTTGCTGCACTTGGCCCAGCAGTGTATTTCTACACCAGGGTAAATGAAGGTGGGGTTAGTGGGTAACTAGCAGACTAATGTTTCCCAAAGTGTCCTCTGCAGAAAAATGGTCCCCAGGACACTCTGTGAAATGCAGTCTTTCAGATCAAATAAGCCTGTGAAAGGTAGAATGTTATGTGCATTCTTAGAAATTCACAATGCACATTAGAACGTGGAGTATTCTGAGAAATTCTGCAGTGGGGAAACCTGGTGAATTATCATTTAACACCAGTAGCATTTCCCCACCATATCTGAGGCCATTAACTTTCAACATCTCAAGGGACTACTGTTTACAGAATGCTTGTTTGGAAGTTCTTGAGTACCCTATCACCAGTGTCATGAAATTGTCTTCTGGTTCCTTTCCCCCGGTACCCCGGATGCTGAGCTTCCTTGCAAAGAAGATGATGTATTACCCAAGCCTGCTCTCTCCCCATAGGAGCCCCTATGGGAGGGGTGAAGCTTGCTTCTGCTTTAATTGTGTGGTGCACTTGTGTGTGTTGTCCTAGACCAGAGGTGTCTGGAGCATCTTCTGGGACCTTGGAAAACCTCAAATAGCATCAGCAACATTTGATTCCTGAGTAGCTGTTTTAGGCAGTCTCGAAACAGTGGTAACATGATTTCAATAAAAGGAGTTTAAAAATGGCAGGCAGATTTTACAAGACAAGCGAGACGCTGTGGTCAGGACTCGGGGCTTGGATGAAGGGATTCACCGCACAGAGGCACTGAGAGAAATCGCCTTCTCTCCTACAGCGTGTTCCTCGTCCCCGTGTTTCCACGACGGCACTTGCCTCCTCGACAGCACCGGATCGTACAAGTGTGCCTGCCTGGCGGGCTACACCGGGAAGCACTGTGAAAACCGTGAGTTTGCCTGCGGAGTGGGCATGAAGGTGCCACATGGGGCTGGCACGGAGACGGTCTGGGGAGCTTGCTGGGGGCGTTGTTCCCTGGTGTCTACATGGCCTGTCCAAGATGACGGGTAACATGGACTCTCCCACTGAGTGGATCTCAAGAAGGCTGGGCTGCCTCTGAGTCAGCATGTCTGGAACCACCCAGGTTTGCCCTCACCTGCAAATACCACTTAGAAAGATCTTATCTTAGATACGCCTTCAGTGGCCTCAAATAGTATCCAGAGCTCAAACACTGAGAAAGGGTCAACAGTAGAAAGCTACCATCATACACTCTCCTGAGGCCCAGAGTCTGAACTCCCTCTCCATCCCATGGTCTGAATTTTGGAGTCATGCTCCAGGGCACCATTCATTGTGTTTCTGTGCAATCTGAAGCCCTGCATTGAGGATGGGAAAGATGTAGGATAACTATGAGCCCCAGATCCCCAGGGACAGTCCTAATTTATGCATTTTGTCTATGTCTAGTTATTAAAAGCATACTCTTTCATATTCAAGTATCCTGAGTGAATGACAAAGTACAATCATCATCTTATGACAGTCTGACCAGGTTACATGAGTCACAGACAAAGCAACATTTTATTGAGGGACTACTATGCACTGAGGTCCATGGGAATGCAGAAGAAAGCATGTCTTGCTGTTCTCTGAAGGAGCTTATCCCAACTTGTGAGCTCAGCTCTGTATTTCTCTGGTAATTCTTGAGCAGGTCTGAGAGGCGATGGGGCTGCAGGGGTGGTATAGCCCAGAGGAGTCATAGGGCAAAGAAGTCCGCCAGCCGTGGCAGTCCACATATTAGTCTCTAGGATCGTTCCCTTTCTGCCCTTGCCACTCGAGTGGCATATCCTGGCTGTCCCATTGGGTCACCCACACTCTCCGGTTCTTGCAGACAGAAGTCGAAAGCAGAACCATGGTAGTCTTACCAAACCAAACTTGGGTCCACTCGCCTCATGCACAGTAAAGGCAGTCTACTGACACTGGGTTGTGGTGAAGAAGTGTGAAGTTTATTATAAGCACCAGATGGGGAGTCCAGGACAGCTAGTGCTGAGAAAATCTCAAACTCCCTGAAGGGTTTCAGCAAAACATTTTTAAAAGCCAGGTGAAAGAGGGAGGTTGCAGGGTATGAAATTAGCTTGCACATAATTCTCTGATTGGTTGATGGTGTGGTAACAGAGGGGTTAACATTATCCATCCTTAGGTGCCAGTAGCTCTGGGGACACATGCCCATGCTCATCAAGTTTCGTCCATTTGGTGGTGATTTTAGCATCTATAGAACAAATCAGGAAATGTGCATCAGATCCTATTATCTAGATAAACTCCAGAGAGGAGCTCCAGCCGAGGATATGGGAGAGGAGAACCCAAAGAGTCCTGCTCGGTTACAGTCATCCTCAGTAACCTGGGGTCAATAGCAGAAATAAGAGGAAGTGAACTCAAATGACTTACTCCAAAGAGGGTAGGAGTTTCTCATTCATGTTTTTGAAAGGCAGAACATGACTCTTCTGTGCTATTAGACTCAAACTTTTGCCAGAGGAGAGAAACTTGAACATGTATCTGATATGGGAAATCCTTATCTGATAATGGTATCTGATAATGCCATATCAGATACAAAACATGTATCTGATATGGCATTGCCCTTGGGAAGGGTACACGCAGGCCAGTGCATATGGCAGCATCGGGCAGCACCCAGCCCGCTGGTGCAGCGCCCAGGACTGTGCCTTTGGCAGAGAGGAACTTAAACACTATGACCAGAAATCAACTATCAAGGGTCTTTGGTAATCAAGAGCCTGTCTATGTATGACAAGTTCCTAATGGAAGTTTGAGACCTTAAACTGGTGTCCCATGCTGCAGCTGTCGCATGGATGAAATGAGCAGAACAGGAGGAGTCAACATTTGGGGAAAAGCAAAGGAGGGCAGCTAATGACCTAGGGAGGGTTCCCCCAAAGCAGATCCTGACATGGGAACATGTGTACAGATGACGTGTTAAGGACACGTCCCCCAGGAGAAGCCGGTAAGGGAGTGGGGAGGCTGGACCGGAAGGGAAGGAAGCCAAGCAAAGGCGTGATTTCGGGCAAAATCCCAGCCTGAGTGTTAACAGGCAGTGGAATCTGGAATGGAAAGTACATCTCAGAGTGTGTCCTGGCTTTAACGCAAGACAGCTGGGCTTTCACATCCCAACTGCGATTGCTGATTGGCTCCAGACTGCCTTGGGCAAGTAGGACAAGCTTAACTTTCTGTGCGTGTGCCAGCGTGGTTCCAATAACGCTTGAGCAGTGGACGAGTTGGTCGGTGCAGGCCATCGGAAGTAAGCAGAGTAGACTGCGGGGCGGGGAGGAAGGGGCCCCCACGGACAGAGCCCCAGCGGCCTCTGATGCTGTTGCTTCTAACTGGCATGCTCAGGTTACTTTGGGGTTATCCTATATATGAGAGACCTGGTTTGACGTTCGTGCGTTTTTCAGTTAATTTCATGAATTTTGCTTGCAAACAATGCAGACTGAAGCTAGTGTCGGTAGTGTGTCTGAGCGTACATTTCATTCTAGTTAAAACACCTGTTGCTCTGGGTGTCACAGCTGACCTGTGTGATTATGCCAGATTCTTAGGAAATTATGTTCTGCTTTGTGGTTCTTGTCTCGTTCAGGTTCTCTGTGAGGCGTGCAAGGCAGAGAAAAGAAGTGTTGCTTTCCCTTTGTTTCAAGAATTCGTAGATAGAGTGAGTCTGGCCTCTTGACAACGGCAGATCATGAGTGCTACCGTTCAGATGCAGAGGGGGGACCAAAAAAGGAAGCCCTAAATTCTTGACAAAAGAACTTTACCGTATTAGGACTTTGATTAACAAAGACAAAATTGGATAAAAGTAAAACATTACCAAATTAGTCAAAATACCTGTAAGAAGCTGAGTCAAATTGGGGAAGGGGAATGGAGCAGGGGGAAGGAAATTGGTCCAAAAGTTTTGACTAAAGTGTTTATGAGTAGCTTTTGAGTGAAAAACGGACTTCTCGGCACTATTACTCTATCCAGAAAAAAAAACCCAGAACAAAACAAATAAACATGATGAAAAAGAATGTAAACTATGTCATTATGAACTGATTCATAACTTGATTCATGAACTGTCTCAAATCGCTTTTCATCTCAAGTCACTTTGGGTTTCAAAACATCAGCATAGATGCACAAGAGAATTCTTTCTAGCTACTCTTCAAAATGTTGTTCAAAAACCATAATTCTCTTAGTACCCTGTAGTTGAGACAGGCAAGATATTGGTTGTGGATATCTGATAAGCCATTTGCTGGCATCAATGTGGTGGTGGTGGTTTAATCCCTAAGTCGTGTCTGATTCCTGCGACACCATGGACTGTAACCCACCAGGCTTCTCTCTCTGTGAGATTTCCCAGGCAAGAGTACTGGAGTGGGCAGCCATTTCCTTCTCCGGGGGATCTTCCTGACCTAGGGATCAAACCCATGTCTCCTGCAGTGCACTGATTTTTTTTTTTTAACCACCGAGCCACCAGGGAAGCCTTGGGGGACCAAATGTTTGATTATTTTCCATAAGATTTAGGCCTGTTTTTCCATCTTAGGAAATTCACCATGAATTCCAACTAACTCAGGGAGAGAATCATCACAATTGTCTACGGCAGTTTACCTTGTAATTTCTAAACAAACTTTAACCATTTTTCCAGAAAAAACAAACAAACAAACAAAACTATCACAGGTATATAAAAAAGCTGAAAATACCTCCCTGGGGGAAATTCTTTCAAAATTAATATGAAACTGAAGCATTCTAGAATACTCTAAATTCTAAAATGCCCAAATTGGACTAGGCATATGTTTCTTAAAAATGACTTTTAAAGCAGCAAAACAAATATTAATGAGAATTCCATCTTTTGTTTATGTAGCACCAAATCTGATGAGGGGAAATCATTTCATGGATGATGCTTTAATGTGCTGCTCTCCTAAAGGTTTTGTGGGAGGGTAGATGATCCTTTAAGCAAATGAAAGATTTGAAGTACAGGGTTCAAGACATTAAATTGGTTAAATTCAAGACCAGAGGCCAGAATTCCACTCTTCCCACCTTGTTTATGATCTCTCAGACACCATTCTCACCGCCTGGCTTGGTGAGACTGCAGGTGATGGACTGATGAGCTCTGGTTAGCATCCTGTCTCATTATCAAGTCCTCTCAGAGGACTTCCCTTCCCAGGTAAGACCCACCTGTCTCTCTTCTTTAGAAAGTCCTGATTAACTGTCTCTTGATATGAATTATTCTCTTTATTTTCTTTGTATCTATCTATGTCTGTGAGTGGGAATAGAATAGTAGATTTTCTACTTAATTACAGAAGAAATATAGACTTGTAAAAATAATCAACCAGTACAGAGGTGTGTAAAATAAAAAGAATATTATTTTCCCTGATTAATCCTGGTTCCTAGGGTTAGCAACTTGATGAGGATCCCTCTAAACTTTTTTCTAAGGCGTGCAAACCTAGGTTGTCTATGTGTCATTACTTTAAACCAATGGTTCTCCTCTGGGGGTGATTTTGTTCCCTGCTCCCACCCCAGGGGACTTTTGGAAACTGGAAACTTTGTTGGTGTTGTAATAGCAGGAGAGGGGAGGGTGCCATGGCATTTGGTGGGTAGAGGCCAGGGATGGGATGCTGCAAAACACCCTAAGATACACAGGGCAGCCCCACAACAAAGAGCTGTCTGGCCCGCAGGTCAGTAGTGCCAAGACTGAGAAACCCAGTTTTAAGCAAAAGTGAATTTAAAGCATACATACAATTTTTCAAATTTTTGCTTTCAGTGTTCATATCATAGACATTTTCCCAGATCAATCCACGTTGGTCTCCCTCTTGGGAGAAAAAACGATTGTTGGAGGACTCCATTGTATGAATGTCTATCCAATCGAATAATCATTCCATCGCTTAAGATGGGCTTAATGTCATTTTTAATATTCTTACTATTATGAAAAAGGCT